AAATATACCCCAACCGGCCCTTTAAGGGCATTTCTCACCATTTCTCTCATTTTTCTTCTCTCTCTAAATATGAGAGAAATAATTCTATATTCCCTCTCTAAACTTCCTCCATCGGAGAGTGACCACCACCAGTAACGGTGGCTGGAAAATATAAAATTACACCAAAATCCTCGTCGTTGTTCTCTCAACTCGAATCTGGTCTCCCCTTTTGCTAAAACCCAATAAAGCTTCCTAGATCTAAAAGAGTACCTTCGAACAAAATGTTTTCCGACAACTCTTTCGGGCTCCCACGACACGACAAGGTATGCTCATTCTCTTTCTCTTCTATTTTCAGTGCTTGGTTGCTCTAGGCTTTCGTTGCTTTTGTTTCAATTTTCTTTCTTGATGTGTTGTTTGCTTGCAAGGCTGGGTTTTATATAGCCCCGGAAAATCATCTGTAATGATGAGGAGATCCGGTGAGTCATCGGTCCTACGGTGGTGACTCACCATAGAGTGTTGTGTTGTGCGGTCCTCATTCACCTTCTGGAACCTTCTAGAGTGCTCTCGTGAGATCTAGAAAGGAGGTGACTTTCGTGGCAATGCCTGGTTGGAGCGATGGAGGCGGTGGCTAGAATAGACCCTAGAGTGATGATACCCTAGGGTTTCTGGAATCATATGAAGTAATCTGGTGCGTTGATCTGCAGCTGGATCGAACAGTAATGGAGCGACGGTTGGAGAAACATACTGGAAACCTTAGCTGTTGGACTCATGTTCTTTGGGCCTGCTGGATCTGTTGGGCCTGGATGGTTCTGGGTTAGGTCTGAATCGAGTTTTAGGCTTGGTTATAATCGGGCCTGAATTTATTTGTAAATGGGTCTGTGTGCCTTTGTAACTGGGCTCTCCAAATTATCAATCGAGCCTCCAAACTTGTAAATGGGCCTTCGAGCTATATAATATAATTATATATAATATAATTATTATTTAATAAAGTATATAATAAACGCCACTCGGACGAAAACTAGTGTCGACAAAGGGCTATGGAGAATCAGATGGGGCAAACGACTAATGCTTTAAATAGTCAATTGTCAGGATCGCTACCTAGCGAAAAACTGAGAATCCTAAGCAAAATGGTAAGGAGCATTGCAAGGCCATTACCACAAGAAGTGGATTTTATATTGAGGACCCAGTTGAAGAACTGAATAAGAAGAATGAGGAAGCTGATAACTCCGTAAAAAGACTATGTTTTATATCTTTTTACTTAAGTTATTGTGTGTCTAAAAGTTGTTGTCGCAGCATTTTAGTTGCATTTAGGTCATATTTACATGTAGTGGCTGAGTTTTGCCTAGGCAAGATTTATTTGGCTTAATTGATGTTATTGAGGAGGAAGGTCTTTGTTGGCTGTGTTGATGCAGGAAATAACTAAGGGAGAATTTATTTACCGAGACAAAACTATTTCCCAGGGTTAGAGGAACATAAGAAGATGACATTGAGGAACATATTTTTTTGCCGAAGCAAGATTTATCTTACAAATCTGACGTGGCTCAACTAATGTTGACGTCATTTGCCCAGTTCATCCTCACGTGCAATCACGCCCTCATCAAGGAAATTGGCCACTTCCAGTCGCTATGCCATTTGTAAAATGGGTAAATCAATGAGGGTATTTAGGGAATTTCTAAGGACACAAAACCCTAGAAATTCCCACTATAAATACCTCATTATAGTCGTCCAAAAGAGAGACAATAAAGGAGAGGATTCACCCTAGGCTTGGAGTAAAGGACTGAAGCACCTTATTTTTCACCATTTGCCCACTCGACCGTCCTTGGTGCCCTCCATAGCTGGGCTTTATTGGAGCAGTGGTCAGACCCTCGAGAGAGGCTTGCCGCTGGAGCAAGTGTGGTGGTGGTCAGAATGTTATGATAGAGCTCTGTTTAGGAGTGTTTCTTCCTTTTTTTTCAATTTTTAATTCGCTTAAAGGGCTTGTATTGAATGTTTAACTTTTGGATGATATTTTTCACACCATGAACTGCTTTACTTGGTGTTGTTTATTGTTTTGATGAAACATTATTTGAATGTTATTGAATGAAGAAGTTTGCTTATGTTTAATATTGTTTTGTTCCTTGTTTTAATATTTTGCCGTAACACTGTAAGAGCTTTTGAGAGATTGACTGGTGCCTTGATAAAACATTCCTAGACATTGTAAGAACTTTTGATATATTTTCATTCCTCTAGGAGTAGATGCATAATATCGAGAAAGTTATGGAAGATATATGTGAACAACGGGACTGATTCGAGATGATGAGGTTCTAATCTACCTTAGAGATAAGGAGAGGGTTTTATTCGACTAAAAGGGGTAACTACTTGAGTAGGATATGCAACGACTGCAATTTACACTAAGGGGTATTGCCACAACAAAAGTTTGACAAACCAAGGGTTGTAGTTCACGCCGAGTAGTATTGTAGCAACCGTTCTTGAATACTCCAGTAATCTTGTTGGGCAAGCTAAAAATAGCACACTAAGTCATTCTAGACATAGAATAACTTCTCGTCATAGCAAAACCAACCTAAGTACTCCATAAAAAAATCTGATTGTGTGAGGGTTTTCTGAATATATTGAACTCAACACTTTTATTTGCCTTTACACTTTTTATTTGTTTACTCTTGCAAATTTACCTTGCCTCGACCAAACTTTCAGCACACCATACTTCAAAATATTTCTTGCCTAAGACATTACTTTTCCATTTGTTTATATCCTCTTATACTAATTGTTTTATGCTTCGACAAGAATTTTAGGACTAACTCATGACATCTAGTTCTAGCTATAGCAAAACATCAATAATTCCCACCAGTCCCTAAGGAGACGACAACTCTACTTACTACTATATTACTTGCATCGATTGTGTATACTTGCACATATTTGCTTACCTTAGCATATAAATTAACAAGTGATCAAGTTTTTGGCGTTGTTGTTGGGGATTGGAAACTGGAGGAATTTTGTTAATTTCTGCCATGGCAAAATTTTATTTTCTTGTCACATTTTCTCTATTTAGTTTAAATTGTTTATTTTCTTATTTTCTTTTGAAGGTTTTTGTCGTTGCATGACCCTGAGATATGCTTGTGAACCATTCGAACCTGAGATCGAACAATCATTCTGACAAGCGTGATGTAATTATCGTGCCAGGGATTACATGAATCGACTACAGTATCAAGCTGACAATAATATGGAAGATCAGGCAGATCCTGATGTCGCATCGAATAATCTTCCCATAAATATTGCAAGACCACGAGCAATAAGAGATCAATTAAATATGATTCTTGATGATCTCAACCTTGGAATCATGGCACCTGAAATACAGGCAACCCATTTTGAACTTAAACTGGTGATGCTCAACATGTTAAACTCCATCGGTCAATTTGGTGGCTCGCCTAATGAGGATGCTAGACAGCATGTTCGTTCTTTCCTTGAAGTGTGCAATTAGTTCAGGCAACAATGAGTTAATGAAGATGTGCTGAAGCTTAAACAGTTCCCCTACTCTCTACGTGACCGAGCAAGAGCTTGGCTTAGTGGAGTCCCTTCTGGATCAATGGAATCTTGGGCTAACTTATTCAAAAGTTTTCTACTCTGCTACAACCCGCCCAATATAAAAGGCATAGAATTGATCACTTAAATATGATTCTATGCTTGATGCATAGGGCATTCCTGATATAAAAGGCATTAGTCCAACATTTTTCATGAATAAAATTCTTTTGGAGAATCCGAACAGTAGCTCAATTGAACTCCAGTGAAGATTAAATCCGATCATAAAAGAAGTAGTTAAAAAGGATATTATAAAATGGTTGGATGTTGGGATCATATACCCGATTTCGAACAGCAATTCGGTCAGTCCTGTGCAATGCGTTCCAAAAAGGGCGACATCATTGTGGTAACAAATGATAAAAATAAATTAGCGTTGACAAGGATAACTACTGGTTGGAGGATATGTATGGACTATAGGAAGCTCAACAAAGCAACGATGAAAGACCACTTCCCATTGTTGTTTATAGACCAAATGCTAGACCGATTTGCGGGTAATTCTTTTTTTTTGGATGGATATAGTGGTTGCAACCAAATTGCTATAGCTTTGAAAGATCAGGAGAAAATAACTTTTACAAGTCCGTATGGCACATTTACTTTTCATAGAATGCCATTGGGTTGTGTAATGCTCCAACGACATTTCAATATTGTATGATGGTCATTTTCTCCGATATGATTGATGATTATCTTGAAGTTTTTATGGATGATTTTTCAATCTTTGGGCAAGACTTCGAAAAGTGTTTCAGCAATTTGGCTGCAGTTTTGATAAGATGTGAGGAGACCAATTTTGTTTTGAATTGAGAAAAATGTCATTTTATGGTCACAAAAGGCATAGTGCTAGGGCATCAAATTTCAAGCCATGGCAATGAAGTGGGTAAAGAAAAAGTAAAAGTTATTGAGAAATTGCCACTACCTACTAATGTGAAGGCAGTTCGAAGCATTATTGGTCATGTTGGTTTTTATAGAAGGTTTATTAAAGAATACTTTCATATTGCTAAGCCATTGTGCTCATTGTTGGAGCAAAACATGAAGTTTGTTAATGATGATGAAATGTTTCAATCTTTTCATACAATCAAGAAAAAAATTGGTAAATGCACCTGTTATTACAGCACCATATTAGACATTTCCATTTAAATTAATATGTGATGCTAGCGATTTTGTTATAGGAGTAATGTTAGGGCAACAAAAATATAAAATATTTCATGCTATAATTATGCAAGTAGGACACTGAATGAAGCTCATATCAATTACACCATAACTGAAAATGGGTTGTTTGTTGTGGTGGTCTTTTTTGATAAATTTTATTTCTACTTGGTGGGTACAAAAGAGATTGTTTATAATGATCACTCAACACTAAAGCATTTGTTTTCTAAGAATGAGACAAAACCTCGTTTAATTCAGTGGGTGTTTTTACTCTAGGAATTCGATATTGATAAGAAGGGATCTGAAAATCAAGTGGTTGATCACTTGTCTAGGTTAGAGTCTAGCAACGAAGATGGCATCATTTTGGTAGTTCCAGATGAATTCCCTGATAAGCGTCTGTTAGTTGTTACAATGTTACCATGCTATGTATATTTTCAAGTTGTCGTGTTGCAAAGTATCATAGGTACACTGAAAAGTGTGCAGCCATAGATTAATGTTGTTAATGGTTTGATTCTTTAATTAATGAAAATTATTAAATTAGTTCAAATGGATTTAATCAATGTTAATCACATAGATTAAGTATTTCATGTTTGCATAAAATTTGGAAGCCATAATATCATATCCTTTGATTCGATAGTTGACCAATTGCTTCTGGAATGCTGTAGCATAAACTGGTGTTCTTTGTTATTGATTTCATTACTTTTTCTATATTTTCTCATTTCTTTTATGCTTTTTACTATTACCACTCTAATGAAAACAAGATGCTCCATGTAGGTTCAACATCTGAAACTCTTGTAGTTTTAAATTTATTACTTGATTTTGTAACGCGTACACTTGCATGATTGCTATAACATTTTCGTAGCATCATCTTCATCTCCTTTTGTTTCTTCTTCATTTGTTTTTTCTTCAACAAGTGTACTGAACATCGCTCCACTATTTTTTATTCCACCTTAGAGTGAAAGTGATGGAGTATTTAAGGTATTTGATGTCATCATTGACTCAAATTGTTCACCAAAATCAGTTCCTCGTTGACCATATATAATATTATTCCATTCACATGTATCTTTTGTCGAATATGGTTGAGAGGGTGGCACTGCATCTCATGAACCATTTACCCAATTCGGTTGGTTCTCTATTGAAGCATGATATTAAGGATAAAAACTATAACTTGTTTGAGATGAAAAATATTTGACAAAAGGATAAGCAAAAGAAGATGTTGTTGATGATGATTATATAGGCTTTGCATATTTTGCCTTGATTTGTTTCATTTGGCCCTATCTTCTAATGTTGATAAATATGGTTTCTTATTTGCTTTATAATTTTGGAGATAAGGAGATATTGTGAAACCAAGATCATCAGTTGTAATCTTCGAACGAATAAGCATAAATAGATGTTGTTCATTCCATTGTTGTATGCATCGAGCATGCTTCATCGGTCAATTATCTTTATACTTCCTACTTGCATCAATTCTGTGGAGATCGTCCATGACAAATATTTGCATTGGAATCGACTGATGGGGTCGTAACACTCTGTCAGCGACATGGATCTCAACAATCACAAAATGAAGCAAAGGCATTATGACACACCACGTCTCCGATCCTTCAAAAAATGATGTTCATAGTAACTGTTGGATCTCCGACTCATAATATGGAATCTAATTAAACTGTAAACATCAATTAAATTATAATTATTAGTATAAATAACAAATAAATTCTCTTTTAATATTTATTAATATTTTTGAATATATACCGCATGTCTACCGACGATATCTATCCTCGTTCGCACATTAATTTTGTTGCACCCATCACTTTTGACTCCATAATTCTATGTCGCTATCTAAACAATATAATAAATACAAATTTAAAAAATTTACTTATAAATTTAAAATTTTACTAACATATAAAGCTAAAAAATTACCTTAAATCCAAAGGAAATTCAACTGAATCTATTGCAATTGGCGTAAAAACAGACATAATACCATGCCCAAAATTGTAGTAAGACTAGACAATCCGCTACATAAAAATTTTCGCCCCTTGTAACGATTGCAGCCTAGTAAAGTTCTCGGTATAAAAATGTTAAAATAGTTGAACCCTAACTATATTTACGATATTCAGTCAAATTTTCCAATATCGGAAGATACTGAGTGTGCATCAAATTATCAGATTTATCCAGTAACAATATCCCTCCAATCAATTGGAGAAAATATGGACATGCTCCAAATCTAACTTCATCCTTGGTAAAGTGTTCATCCACTTTAAATTCACTCTCCAACCAAGTCATTCGTATCTGCAACCCTTCTAGGACATCTGATGGTGGCCTCTTTCGCAATACTTGTTCGCAAATCGTGACTTGGTTGTAAGTTTTGTGTCTCACTAGTGTCGCACCATTTATCAGAACACCGAAGTTGATAAGCGACATCTTCCAAATCGTCGCTTCACCACTCGAAAAATAAAATGTATGCATTTCGGACCTCTGTGTTCAATCAGCACCAAAATCAGTCCAGGTTCACCTTAAAACCACAAAGAAATGTGTCGGGATACAACCCGGATTGTTGTAGATATATAATAGTCCGCTCATGTGGATCATTAATTTTCATTCCTCGCTGATGAATGTTACATTATTTTTTCTACAATATAAATTAAAAATAATAATAATATTTTCAAAAAAATTAATAATTTGAACTTTTAAAAAATATAAGAACAAGATTTTACCACATGGAGTTCAAGGGAGGAAATATGGACATCATCAAGGCATACCATTTCTTCTCGGGTAGACTTCAAAGAAAACAAAATTTTCCCTCAAACAAATTCTTTTCTTCTTAACAAATCACAATACAAACCTTAAATCCCCAAACCCTTATTTATAACCCTAAACTCAACAGCTAGTGAATTTTTAAATCAAATAGAACTCGTCACGTTCACATGATGAGTTCCATGAGTTTTTTTAAATTATAATTATATAATAAAAAGTAAAAATAACAAAAAATATTATTTAAATAAAACTCATCACGTGAGCATGACAAGTTTCAATAAATATATTAATATATTGAATCCCACATGACCTACAGACATGAGTCTGGATCCATTAAAATATAATTTTTGAGTAAACTCGTCATGTGAACGTGACGAGTTTACCCAATAATGTATAATTTATTGTACAATTTATTGTAGATCTCAAAATAATTTTGAGGTTAGCCTATAAGGCTATCTTTTTCCTGCTTGGCCTACTGAGCCAATTTTGCCATTGTTAGTATTAACTAATTTGGTCGGTAGTTGAGATTCCAGATTAAACTGCACAATTTATACATTATCCGAATCATGCTTAAACAATTAAGCAAATAAGCGCTAAATTTTAAGAGAAGCCCGAAAAGTATTTTTTTTTAATTTACTTCAAGAGTGTTTTGTTTAAATTTCCTTTATTTTAATTATTTTAATTTTCTTGTTTTCTTGTAATTTTTTAGAATTTCTTTTTATCAGTTATTTCTTAACATTTTTACGAATATGATTGAAGAATCTTTCTTTATGATACCTCATCTTCGTACGAATAAACCAAGGAACATCGTATTAGACGATGCTTAGCAGGAAATCCAAAATGTCCCATGGTGCGATATCTCATAGGGTAGTCTACGTTTGTGTCGTGAATGTCCAGAATCAAGGAGTTTATAAGGCCGCCCGCCCAACGGAGGCAACTATGATCACTTCCGTTAATGAATGATTGAGCTTTTAATCTATGGGAAAACACATATTTATGTTCCTTGGCCTTGCTGTTTCCGTTTTGTTTGCTGGTATATTTTAGAAACAGGTGTATATTTGAAGGCCTAACGTCACAATTACTAGTTTACATGGTTTCCCGGACTATATTTATGGAGCATAGGGCGACAGTGTGCTATATGTGCGGGTGACAAGCATAGAGGCAAAATAATGAGTCATTAACTTGCTTCCTCAACTAAGAAAGTTAGCCAATGCCTCGCTTTTCTAGACCATCCTCCTCACTAAGTGGTGCATTGCATGCTTGAAGATTATTTAAAGTTTTTATTTCCTTTTGTAAATGCTGATGTAAGCAATGTGGTGCAGCCATGGCGTGTTGTTCTAATGTCAATAGTTGGACATGTAAATCTACAGGATTCAGGTAAAATGAACCACGGAAAAGTTGCTACCATGTCCTATTAATAAACCAGTATATAAATACAAATGTTCTTCGCTATTATTCTTTACATGAAACATATTGTCCCAAATAATGGTCAATTTAATATTCAAACAATCTCTCATGATTGCATCTTATCAAAAATAAGTTTAACATCAAGAAAAAGAAATGGAAAAAAAAAGATCTTTCAGATAGCTTTAGCACTAGCTCTAAGCTAATGTGTAGTGCAAAATATATGTTCTCGTTTGGTTAATCCAACCGGTAAATCATGCTAATAGTGATAAAATTAAGCATGTCCACCCATCACTTCAACCACAGAACAACCATGATGCAAGCCATTTTCCGGTCCATGAAACACACAACAGAGACCCTATCAAAATGACATTTTCATCGCACACCGCATGAAAGGAAGAACCTATAGATGTACCAAAAAGTAAACGAAGCTACATGATAGATGCTAGTGACTATATTTACCTAACCATAAGCATATGAAGAAAAAAACAGATTTCTTTAAACTCAAATTAGTAGCAAAACAAACAATATCATAGAATTGATACATGATGGTGTTAAACTGTTAAACTGGTAACCTAGAAAAAAACCCATAAATTGAAGAAAACAACACATTTCATTTTTTAAACATCAATCAATACCCAAACAACTAACACAAAATAGGACTGAGGGTTTTACAAGTCATTTACATATTTTGTATGTGCAGGTCACTCAAGGCCTTCTTTCAATACTTCCCTCATCGTCCTTCAAATTTAAAATACCAATTTTGCATGAAAAAATGTCTCTTCAACAAATATCTCTATATTAAAAATTTGTTCCTGAAATGCCAACACCAAATATGAATACGAGTTTGTCATGTAAACAAAATATTCTTCGTTCCAACCAAAGTCCAAATTTGTATAAATTCGGTAAATAAATTTTATTAAATCTCAAAAACTAACTGAGAGGTTATGGAACCGACCTCAAATAACTCTAGATCTAATTTGAAAACACGCGATTCAAATTAAGGGGGAGATGAAAATCATGTTAAAGGAAATGGAAATGTAGCATATAAGTAAAGGCACACCTACGTCTGTTTGGAATACGAGGAAGAGGAAGGGACGCGTTTGTTACGGAACATCATGTACCCGACGGGCAATACGACTCCGATCATCATGACAGCTGCTCCGATGATATATCTTAATGGACTCGGTGGTTCAACCTCTATCATTGCTTTCAACTGCACCGAACGCAACCAGAACCCAACATTAACCATCAATTTGATATGCAATTAGGAAAAAAAATCATTATGAACTTCGAGACCTGGATCGAACCGAGGAAGGAGACTTACGGGCATTATTTTGGGGGCTTTCTGGTTCGAATCGCTAAGGATTTGGGTCACCGGGCGATGAAATGAAAGGAACTAACAGACATGAGAAGATTTGGGGATACTTAATCTGGAAAATCTGGATCTGTTCGGGATATTCTCAACTGTTATTATTATTTATGGGTAAACTACACAAAAAGTCACTAAGGTTTAAATAAATTGATCACTCAACTATTAACAACCGAGTGATTTGACACGTTAATAGCATATAAATTTGACACGTTAATTTAACTTAATCTAAAAATAATAATACTTAAATAAATTAATTTATAATAGAATGTGATTTGACACGTTAATTTAATTTAATAACATTGTTTAATTTATATGTGAGAAGAGGAAGAAAAAAATGACTAATTAAAATGGTCTAACACGATTAATTGATGTCAAAAAATTAGGCTAACATGTCACATCAATATTTTCTATTAATAATTGTTAGTGGTTGAGTGATTAATTTATTATAAATAGATAATGTTAGTGATCAAATCATTATTAATCATATGAATTTATACCAAATTTGAATAAAAAAATTTATTTATTGAATAATATAATTTGGATTCAACATAATTTTAAGGGGTTATTATCGAGCGAGTCGATCGGTTATTGAGTGGTTTTAGATTTGTGCTCATTAAAAAAATCGATTACTTGATTTGACTAGTTGTTCGTTAAACTCATTAAAATTTTACTTGACTCATTAAAATAATTATTGCCCGACTTGTTTCCCATTAAGCTCACCAAATTTTTTAGATACAATAATTAGTGTTTGATTTTTAGGTATAGTAAATTAATAATAAATAATTAAATATTTTTCTTATTGTTTATTAGAAAATTAATAGATTAGTAATTCAATAGTAATTATTAATTAATAATTTAACATCTTTTTTTATTATCGACTAGTCAACAACAACAACAACAAAACCCAATTCCCATATGCAATGGGGTAAAGGGGAGGTAGGGTAGTAGGTTGCCCCCAACGTCAGGTTGATAGTAGCTTCCGTGGAAGACCTCCGGCAGTCAGAAAATTAAAAATATAGATAAAGTGTAATGCATGTATAAATAAATATATAAATACAGAGTTGAACAGTATTCATATGCAGACATTAATATCATTAATATCATATGCGCGTTTGTACTTGGGCAGTAATCCCTGCAAATAAATCCATACGAAAAAATCTATGCATATAGACTTTCTTTTTTTTATATAATAATTTTTAAAGTGTGTACTAAAAAATTATTTAAAAAATTAACAAACTTCTCGCGATCTTATCGAGTCGTGAATTTATCGAGTTGAGTAGGACCTTACTTGACTCAACTCGTTAAGGTCTTGAGTTGAGTTTGAGTTCAAGTCGAGTCAACCTAAATTGAGTATTGACCAAGTTTTAATCGAGTTGAATTCGAGCAACTCACGAGCTGCTTAACTCATTAAACATCCCTAAAAAATTTAAGAAATTTGTGATAGGTGAATATTGAAACAGTCATCTTAATTTGTCATAAAAAATAGTGTAAATTTTTTATTTAGTCATTTAACTATCATTTTAATTTCGTTTTGGTTAGTCAGCTAATTTTTCAAAATCATCCCTAATATTACGATTTTCTTTCATTTTGATCACCATTGTTAAAAGATTAATGGTAATACTGAAGTGTTACTATAAGATAATTTCACATCATCATTAAAAATAAAAATGTCATGAGAATGATTTTGTTAATTTTTTAACGATGAATGATCAAAGTAAAACTAAAACGTAACTTTAGTGATAATTTAAAAAAAAAATTGGTGATCAAAAGAGAACCGAATTGATAATTGGGTGACTAAATATTTAACTTACTCTCAAATTAATTCGTTAAAAAAGGAGTGGTAATGGACTTGAAAAGGTCAGTACCTAATTCCTTGCGACTTTTCAACTACTTCTTGCTGCTGTCACGAGTATTCATCATGCAATATAAATTGGGTACATTCACCATCCACGTCGAGCATTATGTGACAATAGACGGGCAATTTGGGAGATGTGTTCTGTCCACTGCCCATTCAAAGTTCAGGTAAGAAAGTTTTTCTTCCATTTGTAAATTCCAATTATACTTCATACTCATACACATGAGAAATATTTACCAAACTGAAATTTATTTGTCGATTTCTCCATCTATGACCAATTTTCATTTGAGGTCTAAACTCAAACATTCATACAAACCATCTGCTAAAGGCTAAAGCTACAAATTATAAATCTTTACAATATACGAATCAGGGATCGATCTATCTTCTAAAATGTTCAAATCCTTGTATAAAGTTAATATTTCCTTTTATATTTTTTTTTATCAATAATCTAGTTTTATAACTCTTAGAATTTTAATACATCTTTCTAAGTGCGCACTCTTGACGTAAAATCTCAATGTTATGCAATGACCATGAACCCATCCCTAGTGTAAAATTTGTCAGAATCACTACTAATTTCCTGTTGACTGTTTTTTTGTGGTTTTTAACCTTATTTTCCTGACCGATTTAACAGGCGACAGTGTGCAGGCGAGTAAAGATAGTTAGTGAGTGGAAGATTAATGGAGAGTAGACTAGCGACATGCTTTAGAAGCCACACTAATTTGAAAAATTTCTCATACTCGAAATTCCAAGACAGGGAAAAAAAGACAAGGTGAAATAACTCCTCACATTGAATGCACTCAACAACTCTGAAGGTGATCATCTAAAGCAGGCAACTATCTGGCCCCATCGGAGAGGGAAAGTTTTTGCCTTATTTACTTCACATTCTTGGATTTGAACATTTATGTTTTCTTTGAATTCAATTACTTCTGTTCGCAAAACCCCATTTTGGTGAGCTATAACTCTTGAGTTTGGCCACTTTTATTACAAATTCATCATATAATCTTTATCGGGTGTATATTTTTCCTTGTCACGTTTGAGTGTCTTTTAACAAATAATAGTAAATCATTATTTTATGATATAGACTAGAGTTAAAGAACGTGAAAGTTTGAATAGTGTATAGAGCTGCAGAGATAACAAGAAATGGGTGGTTTCCATTTAGATCAGGAAGAAGGAGCTGCAACAGCAGGAGGAAGAAAGAAAGAGGGTGAAGATTCTTCTTGGTCACCGAATCCACATATTCAGGCTCAGCATAGGCGTTCTAAGAGGTGACCTTCACATTCTTACTAGTTTCTTACGTTGTTTTGTCAACTTGTTGGCTAATAATCAACAGAGAATCAAGTTTATAGGAGTTCTTTAACCATGTCAATTTTTCTGGAGTTTTGAGGGTTTATTTTTCTTTGTACTTAACTGGTGTTCGCTTCTTTTTCTCAATTTTCTCTGGCATTGCCTTTACTTGAATTGCAAGTGAAAGATTTGGGATCTTGGAAGTTTGGCTACGGTGCAATATTGGTCAATGGTCCTGGCTTAGGCTTAATGGAGTTTATGTCAGATCTGGCCCCCATGAATGCATAATGTCTAAGCTGCTAGCTTCATTTTTCTTGCTTTGATTTTGAAGTGATGGATAATGACTGCTTTCGCAAGTAGTAATTCTTGTAACCGTTAGTTATATAGGATTAGTTTGATGAACTTTAGCCATAAGTGATGAATAATGAGATCTGTAAGCTGATTGTAATCTGTTAAATCTCATTCGGACTGTTCCAATAACTATTCTTGTTTTTCTTTCAGTTCATCGGACAGAAATATCGATGGTTCAAGAGACGGAGTTTTGCATCGTACGAAGAAAGGGCAGAATGAACTACATGTGAGGATACATTTTCTAAACAATGTCAAACTGTCAGCCATCTCAGTTATCTTTTTGGCTTCAAGCTTTTCAAGTGATTACAATTACATGTATATAGCCATGTTTTGCAGTGTTGAATGAGAATTATGAATACTTCTTCGTTTTTTATTTACCATTTTATTGTTATTCCAATGTGAAAGGTGGAGGCATCTCTGTTGTCAACGAGAGCTTACAGGACTCGAAGTCCTCTTCATGACAGCTTTGCTTATAGCAATAAGAATACACCGTTGAACCAGCGAGCCTCTTTGGAGAAAGATGTAAGCCTTGAAGGTAGATGCTTTTATTTGCTAAATGTTAGTTCTGTAAAGATAGGGACATTTACATTTAATGTGGCAGAGATGAACCAATGTATATTAACTTAGATTTTCAATTCCCACAACTTTCCTTCATGAAGATGACTGAAAGGCATACATCTAAGAAAGCCAATTGAAAATCCTTAAGGGTTTGATCGAATGTCTGAAATTATATGTTTTGAAATCCTTAATTCTACTCAGTTGGACAATAAATGTGTAATGACCCTATATGTATTCTATGAGAAACTTGACAGGTGCACCTAAACAATGGATCAATGGCCTCTATTGCTGAATAGTTGTATAATATATCCTTTTTCTGAATAAATTTCAACAATAGCATCACCATGGTTTTCCCTGTCGCGATCAGAGGAGACGAGATAAGAATCGGAGCAAGAGAATTGGGCAAATCAGAGAAAGGGTTAGGGATTTGAAATTGGGACTGGACATGGACCTAACACGTTTTACAGCCCACTAAGGATAAGAAACATCTTGCTTAATTGTGCAGGTGGTTAAACTCAGTACAACAAGGATTGCCAGCTGTAGGGCAACTATGGGTACACTGTAATTATATAAACCATGTACTAGAGGAGGAGAAGGCATGCTTTGATTGAATGAATTATAAGCTTCTTGAATCTCTTCTTTTCTCTCATTAATCTTAATTCTCTCAAATCTTTGTCTAATTTTCTTCTCTAATCTCCTAGGGTCATAACAATTAGTATCAGAGCCACAACTCTTGGCAAAGCAATGGCTGCATACTCTGGTTTTTTTGCGATTCAACAGCAGATTGAAGACTTATCAAAGCTAGTTAAGCAAGATCAATACCTGGAGATAAGGATTGCAATGAATAAGGGTTGTTTGGAGCAGATTCTAAGGAACTTGACAGGAAGGAGAGATGACCAAGAACCACTAAGCCCAAAAACTGAGCAAAATCATGGAGAGAAAAAAATGGGTCAGCTTTCACTTGGTGAATCTAAACCCTTCTTCTTTACTCCTAAAAAATATTACCAGTGCCAATAGACGAAACATATGATGTTTCGCAAGTGTTTGATAAAATGTCAGCAAGAGTAGATCATGTGGTATTCCCATCCATCACCGGTTCCATGAAGGTTGATTCACGGTTGCAGCAGAAACAAACCACGGAAGATGACAAGGTTGTTATGAGGGTTGAGTTAAATTTTGAACATGGACATCAACTTCAAAATCAAATGAAGATTACAGATGCACTAAGAAAGATAATCGCCCCTTATTATGATACGGGATGGAGGGTAGACCATTATCAATTGAGGAATATTGGAGATGTAGACGTGGAAGCCAAAAATGGGAAAGAATTGATGACGGACTCTGAAACAGGGTTGGTTCAGAAAACTATCGATGCATGCTTTTATCAGCACTGTCTCAATTTGCAACCTAATCATTCCCAAGATCTTACCAACCTGGGGAACATATATATGGAATAGATCATGGTTGCTGCTGCTTCTTACTATAAGGCTACATTGGCTGTCACAACATTCTGCCAGATGAATATTGTCGATACACCAGGGACAAATGTGATTCTTCAAAGACAACAACACCTTCCAGAGGAATTTGTGCCTCGTGCCGATTTGCTTTTTTTTTTGTTATATCTGCAGATTTCCCTCTAACAGAGAGTGAGGTTACCTTTCTTCGTTATACTCAGCAATGGAAGAAGAAAGTTGTGTTTGTGTTGAACAAGGCTGATTTTTATCAGAATGTGCAAGAGCTAGAATAAGCAATTTCATTCATCAAAGAGAATACACAAAAGTTGCTAAACACAGAAGATGTGACGTTATTTCCAGTGGCTGCACGATCTGTTCTTGAAGAAAAGTTTTCCGCTACTTCTGGTGCCAGAAAAAAATTAAGGGAACTAGTAGTCACTGATTCAAACTGGAGAACCAGTAGCTTTTACCAGCTTGAAGACTTCTTGTATAGTTTTTTAGATGGATCAATTAGGAGAGGAATGGAGAGAATGAAGCTCAAACTTGGAACACCAATTGAAATTGCCGAGCGAATACTTTATGCTCGTGAGACTCTTAATAGAAAAGACTGCGAGTCTGTAGAGCAGGACTTGACTTATGCAAATGAAATTGTTAATAGCATGAAAGAGTATGTAATAAAGATGGAAGGTGAAAGCATCTTTTGGAGAATACGAACTCTATCAATGATTGATGCTACGAAATCACGGATTCTGGAGATCGTAGAATCTACCTTACAGTTATCAAATCTTGATATTGCCGCCTCAGTTTTACTCAAGGGGGAATCATCCACCTCCTCACTACCAGCCACTTCAAGGGTTCAAAATGATATATTTGGTCCTGCACTTACTGATGCATGAAACTTGTTTGGAGACTATGCAGCATGGTTGCAGTCGAATAATGCACGTGAAGGAAATCTATACAAGGAATCGTTTGAGAAAAGATGGCCATCTGTTACCTTCTCAGACAAACATTATGCCTTGGAGACCTATGAACTGCTGAGAAAATAAATCGATTCAGCTTGAGAGTGATAGAGAACTTCAGTGCCAATGCTGCTTCCAAACTATTTGAGCGTGAAATTCGCGGAGCGTTCTTGGGAACTTTCGGTGGACTCGGAGCAGCTGGTTTGTCAGCTTCACTTCTAACATCTATATTACCTACCACCTTAGAAGAAAGGGTGGTTGAATTCGCATTAAATAGATCAAGGCTCAAATCTCTCACCAACAAGCTCAAAGAAGTTCGTATGACCTGGTCGCTTTTCGACACACCACGTTGGGTGCAAAATCTAGAGAGAGCATACTTCACAACGATTATTGAGGGAATGATAGGATATGTTCATCTTCCAACTATTATGTCTAAACTCCTATCTGATAATGATGGTCAGGAATTTGGAGATTTTAAGCTTACCATATTGCGAATTCTGGGAATTTATGGCTTTGAAAGAAGAATTCTGAATACTGCCAAATCTTTTAAGGGACAAAGCAAAGTGGAAATTTATAGAAATTTGAAGGTCAGGGGCCGAGTTTACTTGAAATTCCAATCTTACCATCAAACCTCACTTGCTCTTCGAAAGGGATTAAAGCTGGCAGTAAGGTTCTATGGTTCTATAATGCTCGACAAACGTAGGGAGCAGGAGCACAATCAGATGCAGTGGATGAAATTAGGACTGGAAAACGTCACTGTGGTAAATTATATTATACTTCCAGCACAATTCTCAGATTTTGATCCTTGGGGACAAGGATCATTTCGTGGGGAGGGTATTGTCACGATCAGAGGAGAAGAGATAAGAATCGGAGTAAGAGAATTGGGGAAATCAAAGAAAGGGTTAGGGAATTGGAGATAAGAATCAGAGTAAGAATCGGACTAAGGATATGAAACATCTTGCTTAGTTGTGCAGGTGGTTATACTCAGTACAACAAGGACTGCCAGCTGTAGGGTAACTATGGGTACACTGTAATTATATAAACCATGTACTAGAGGAGGAGAAGGCATGCTTTGATTAAATGAATTCTAAGCTTCTTGAATCTCTTCTTTTCTCTCCTTAATCTTAATTCACTCAATTCTTCGTCTAATTTTCTTCTCTAATCTCCTAGGGTCATAACATTCCCATTTTCAGATAGAACTGCTGCAATTACGTTTGCAACAAGAAAAAACTATGCGACTTATGCTCGAGAGAGCAATGGGGAGGGCTTCAAGCACGTTATCTCCAGGGCACAGGCATTATGCCACACAGGTAACATTAAAATCGATTCTCTGCAAATATTCTGATGGTTTCTCCTCCAGTATTTATTTAATCAAACGAGAAAGTCCAACATTGTTTGACTGGCAATGTAAACATGTATGCTTTGTAGACAAAGACACAGCTACCAATAAGGCACACAGATTTTGTAATGTATCAGATTGAAAAGATAAATCAATAAAAATATTTCTAATCTTCTCATATTCTGCTGGAAACCATTGTTCTGCCAATGTATATGATATCCATATGTGAGTTATGTAAAAGGAACCCTGCTAGAAAATAACTTGACAACGAGTTAATTTCAGACAAAGGAATTGATTGCGGAGATCGAGTTACTCGAGGAAGAGGTTGCAAACTGTGAGCAACATGTACTCTCTCTCTACAGGGATATGTTTGACAATTGTGTTAGTCGGCAACCGTCTGAGCAGAGCTCAGGCAAGGCTTCTCCTGCACATATGAAGCATACATCAAGGAAACACACGAGTATTATTTCAAGTGCATTTTGTTCTTCAAAAAAGTTCCCTCTGAGACCTTGGCAAGCTCTAGTTTCCACAAATGACTCTGGGAAAAGACTCTTTAGAAGTATAGATGTTTCACAGTTTTGTGGAAAAAGTATTCTATTGGACAAGACATCTTCATACCTAGTTAAGGTAAAAATAGGGTAATCATTTTTTTACGTTTTTACAAATGTTTGTCGTTAATTCTTGTTTTGTTCATTTTGAAGCTCACTCTAACATATCAAGGGATTTTTTATAACGTGTGCATCATATGGCTTATCTGTCATATAATGTCATTCATGTTTGTTGTCCAGACTTTCTTATTCCTTGCATTTCCAGGCTCATGAAAAGGTTCAAGGTATTGAAAAAACCTCGGTGCTGCAGACTCTGAAAGATCATCTGACCAATGTCCAAGCAAGCTGTCGGAGGAGATGGTCAGATGTATGGCAGCAGTATATTTCGGACTCCATAGTGCAACATCTTCGAATTCTAAGAAAAATTCATCGCTTTTATTGTCAAGGTCATCAACTAAGGTTCTACTTCCCAAAGGTTACGTTGGAGAAGACCGGGACTTCTCTTGCACATCCAATGTTGAAATATCTTGGATATCAACTGATAGGAACCAATTTTCTCGAGCATCTTATGCCATTAGTAACTACAGGTTGGTTAATTATATGGAGTATGTATAAATACTGTGTTTTAAGGAAATTAAGGTACACTTTGCAGCATAAATCTTGTTGGAAACTCTTCCCTAAGCAAAGGCAAACTTCTGCTCTCTTTATTTCTTGTGCATTAATTTGTTAATTTCAGATCTCTAGTGGAACAACTAGAAAAAGTGACAGTGAGTCAGATGGAATATGATGCCCAAATTGCATTCTGGATCAATGTCTGCAATGCGCTTGTCATGCATGTAAGCTTAAATTTATTTACTAGCTCCTTGATTGTCTCTTTCTTTTTACTATCATAAACTCTCAAATTTTCCTCGTGCAGGCATATTTAGCATATGGAATTCCCCAAGGTTCTTTGAGACGGTTAGCCTTGTTTCACAAGGTAGTCCTTTACTTTATCTAAATCAAAGACAATTTAGGAAATAATATTGGAATGTAGGTGCATTAAGCATTTAACAAGATCTTAAGAAAGTGTGTCAACCATATTAGGCAGTTCAAAATTTTCATTGGCCACATTTTTTTTATAGTGATGCTGATTTCTGGAAGATGCTTTATATCGATTTCTCTAAACAATTGCTGTTAACAAGATGCGATGCATCTTCGGCATTCTTTCACTATGATTGATTAGCAGATAAAATTGACATGTTTTTCTGTATAGTGCAGGCTTCATACAACATCGGTGGCCATGTCATTAGTGCAAATGCCATAGAGCAGTCGATATTTTGCTTCCATACACCTCGAACCGGACGGGTATAACTTTCGGCATCTAAAAGTACAAATATAGAGATTGTTTGATGTTTCATAATCTTGCTAATATGTTGTTATCTGTTTTTACCAGTGGCTAGAGAGCATCCTCTCCACAGCTTTGAGGAAAAAATCTGGTGAAGAAAGGCAAATTATCAGTTCAAAATTTGGCCTTTCATATTCCCAACCACTCGCCTGCTTTGCTCTCTGTACTGGTGCATTTTCTGATCCCGTGGTAATTTCTGCTTCTCTCTTGCATTGATTGTATTGCAGTATGATTGTTCATGATTCTCAAACTTGTCTAGTTATTTTCATCTCAATAACATGCCACCTCGATATATAAATAAGTATTTAATCTGTTCTCTGCTCATCTTACCCTTTGTAGCTAAAAGTTTACACAGCATCAAATGTTAAAGAAGAGTTAAAAGCTGCAACAAGAGAATTTCTCCAAGAAAATGTAGTTGTTAAGAAGACAAACAAAGTATTTCTACCCAGAGTTGTTGAAAGGTTCGCAAAAGAAGCCTCCATCGGCTCCGATGATCTCGTGAACTGGGTTCTCGAAAGCGTAGACAAAAAGATCTACAATTCAATAAAGAAATGTATGGACGAAAAATCCAAGAAGAAACCATGGCAGGTCATTGACTGGTTGCCTTATAGTTCAAGTTTCAGGTACATTTTCTCGAAGGACCTGATGGAGAACCCATGGTGGGTGTGAGTTTGACTCTAGACGAATTAACTTATGGTTGTCGATATCTAGTGAGAGATGAAACGTAACGACGGGTGCGAGGGAGGTGTCCATCATCTTGTCTCGATATGTAAATCCATGTCAAAATCATTGTACATTCTAATCTTTAGATCATTTAACATATATTCTGCTTCATCTGGAGTTAACACCATTGCAGAGCCTGCCAAGTTTAGCTTATGAGTCTGTTTCGTTTTTTGCTCTCGGACGGTGATAAGCCTTGAATTTCGGTGTAGACTGTGAAGTATGATTATAAACTTCTTTGTTATGTACTTATTGACAGTACTGTAATCATCTTTAATTTAAGTTCTAGAGTCGGCTCCTTAAGTTCTCATTAGGTGCTGACATGGTCCAATGCAAATGGCCATATCATCATTAGTGGTTTTGTATTAGCCAAGAAGTACTATGCAAATTCTTAGGACGGAGCCAGGATTCAATTGTGCGGGACGAGTTGTTTAATTTTAAAATGAACATGGTTTTAAAAAACAATAAGTAAAAGATCTTAAAAAATAATTAAATCAGAGAAAATAAAAGTCAAGACTTAAATATGTTAATTTTAAGATTAACAGGATCTTAAATAAATAAAATTTAAAAACTTTGGAACAGATAAAATTTAATTACAATGATTTTAAAACTATTAGTAACTTACAATAAAATTAAACCATCATATTGTTACGAAGATACATGACCTAGACTTTTTATTTTTGATTAATATGATATAAATACAAGATAAAATCTGTTTAAAGATAATTTACGTTAAATAATATTAAGTGTTCATATCCATAATTTTTTTATACTCAAATCCAGGAGCTTAAAAAGTAACAATTTTTTTATTATCAAAGTTCTTGATTACAAAATAGAGCTGCTCTGCACCTCTAAATCATTGGGTTCGCTTCGCTTTGAGCTGTGTCAACAAGGCCTGCTTTCGAGATTGTCCCTCATGGATCTCCTTTACTTGGGTTGAGTATACGTTTTATACTAGATCCGTATCCTCCTCAAACATCAAAAGCCTGGCATTTCTCTTACCTCCTAATTTTCCTTTTCCCTCGATTTCTTCCGATATACAAATCCCTAACCCTCGCTTCACCCTAATTTTCCTTTTTTTTTCTCGCCTCAGCATTGTTTTGAAAATTGGATCGGATTGGTCAGTTCAACCGGTTTAACCGAGAATCGTTGTCTAGTCCGATTTAAATTAAATCGGTTAAACCACTATTAGTGAACCGACTAGAACCATTGAACCGTTCAAACCGGACCGACTGAAAACCGGAAAAAATCATCAAATTTTTTTTAAAAAAGAAAATTAAACCAAACGACGTCGTTTGTTAAACGAGCCAAGTCGAACTCGAGTATTGCTGAGCTTGACTTAAACTCACGAACTAAAAATTATCAAGTTCAACTCGAACTCGAAATATAATATTGAAACTTGAACTCGAAAAGACTTGAACTAAAAAAAAATTTAGAAGCTAGATTGAAGCCTAAAATTCGAGCTAGATTGAAGTGAAAGAATAGTTCACTCTATGCTCACCAAAAGGTTCCATGATTTTGAATGTCAAATTATCTCTATTATTTATAGAAGTTAGTTGGGATACTCTTCTATGTTTTATAACCATGTGAGATTGTTTTTTTTTAAAAATTAAACCAAATAATATTATTTTTAATGATTTTTAACCCTAAATTTATTTTTTAATTATAGTTATATAATTATATTTATTATTTAATATATTTTACCTTAAATATTATGTTGTAGTTAATTTGAATAATTTTGTTTTACTTGATTTTATGGTTTTTAACTTATATATGTTATTACTTGTTTTGAATATGACTTGTGATATACAAAATTATTTTTTATTAAATATTTTTGATATTTTTATTTAATATTTTAAATAATTATGACATCGTCTTGTTCTTCCGATTGATCAAACCAGTTCAACCGATTAAACCAATAAACTGATAACATGATCGGTTCGCTAACTGATCTAGTTCTGAAAACCATGCGCCTCAGCCATGACACGGAAGCTCTCTCCTTATTACTCATCGGAAAAATCTCCCCCTTTTCTATTTCTTTCACTGACTTCTTTTTTACTTGAATTTAACGGGAAACCGAACTCAACCAGGTAGACAATCAAGATTCCGGTAAGTCTCAGTTTTTAGTTAATTTTTCTATTTGCTCACTCCGGCTCCTTCTTGTTGCTGCTGTTCTTGTTGTTATGGTGTGGTTGAAGTGGTATTGTTTTGAACTGGAGTTTTGTGCTGCAGTAGATGACAGTACGATTTTGCAACCGAATGGAGGGAGGTAGCGTCTTTAGACTTACTTGCTCTGGTGAGTGTTCCCATTCCTACTTTGTTTTTGATAAACAAATTCTAGTTAGGCATTTCGTTGTTCTTGTTTAACTAGAGAACTTGGAAACAGTTATCCATCTTCTTGAAGTTGTGAGGTATATTGTTGCTTTAGGCTTGTAACTTAATTTTTGTGATTCTGCGCTTAAATATTTTGGAAGGGAATTCTTTTATTAAGTTTTCAAGTCTGCTCAGTCAATTCCTTTTCTATTTCTATTCTTAATATTTTTCTAATAGTTAATGTGATTGAGATGGAGGCTTTATTTAATTCAATTTGTAGTTGGCTAATTAATGGTTTGAGCTAGATCTTTGTTTGAAATTAGTTAGTGGAGGTATACTTGTATTAATAATATTTAAGTGCAACCGACTGATAGTTCAGGAAGAAAAATAAATGCTTACTTTTATTCTCGAGATTATTTATTCGTACACTGTAGTAGGCTTGAGAACTCCACAGGTGGCTTTTCACTTGCCATGCTTTGGTTTAACTATATGTGTTAACCTGATAATGTACTGTTGATTTTTTTGTTGGAGACATGGACAATTATGTACAAGAAGTATAAATTAGTGAAAAGAACTCATTACCGCAATTTCTGCTTTTGGATATCGTGTGGCATATTAACTCTAAGAGATGAGGTTGGGCTATGCAATGTTAACATTTTAACTTCTTTTCCCTACCTTAAACTTCTTTGAACTATACATTATTGTTCAACTCTACTAGAAGTAGTTAGATGGGTATTGTGGATTGTTCTGTTTGTAGAAAGGTTGTAAAGTTCAACCTTTCCTATGCAATTCATTCTATGTCAGGACACTCTTTAAACTCGAGAAGCCTGATCACTTTATCTGATTCTACAGTTTGTTTTCTTCTAAACTTTTTCTGTTGTAGGGATACAATCATGGATTATGATGACGATTCCCAAAGCCAGAATCTCCACTTAGCTGGCTAAGGAAACAATAAATTTCCCCGTGTTGCGGCCATATGATCTACCTAGATTTGATTTTGATGACAATCTTCGTGGGCATTTAAGATTTGATAGTTTAGTTGAAATTGAGGTTTTTCTCGACATTGAAAGTCACGTGTGAATACTGGGATTGCATTTAGTTCAACTGCAGCAAAACCTTGTTTGGTTTCTAGTCACAACAATTTCTGGTCTGAGGCAGCGTCCTCAGAATCAGTTGAATTGCTATTAAAATCCTTAGGGCAGGATAAAACTATACTTGCTCAAACTATTAATAAGGATTCAGGTGCCTCTGATGAACTGTCGTATAATAAAGCAGTAGATGAACCCAAGTTTGAAACAAAAAGATGGTGACATACAAATGCAACCTGCTGTACAGATAGGTGAGATTCCCAACAAATGTATAGGAGACCATCAGTTGGTTGAAGATGCTTCTCAAACCCATGAGAGAGAGCCAGCTGTTCATGAGGCATTAGAAGATCCAAATAACAGAAATACTGGCATACCTGTGAGTGTGACTGAAACAGATGAGTCTAAAGATGGTAAACAAATTGTTATTATCATAAATTAAGCGGAAGCTTCGGTTGATCAGCCTTTGGATAACCGGGGACAGGAAGATAAATTTGCTTCTGGGTCAGAAGTTGATACTGTAATCCCTTCTGTGCAAAGAACATGTACGAGTAGTGTTTTGATAGATGATCAACATTCCACACATTTGAAAAATGATACCATTGATAAAAATGTGGACAGTTTAGAGAGAGAAAATGTAGGTTTAAGTCTTGAACATAACATTAGTGGTAGGAACTTGATTGATGATACAATTGCAAGTGTTACCTCTCATGTGGAGATGTATTCAGCTTTGGACATGCAATATAGGGAAGAACATGCTATTGGAAACAACACAACTAACATGGATGAGCCTTCTGATAAGATATTGAAAGGGAGTTCTGACCCCCATGTGGTGGAAGAATGCAGTGAGGGTGTGGGTGTAGAAATGCCTCTGCAGACTAGCAAGTCTGAAGACATTGTCTTGTCAGAAGGAAAGCTACATGACACATCATCAATGCCAATTATTGATAATACCCTCAAGGTGCATGAAAATGAGGGTAGCAATATTGATACTGTAAATTGTACGGGTCTAGAGTCTAAGGTGAATTTATATGTGAAGGTAGCATCTGATGCTATTGAGGGCTTGTTAGAAAGTGGTTGCTACCCAGATAAAAAAAATCTTGAGCAGCAAGTCTGAGAAATCTTTGTTGTCAGTGGAAGATGGTAAAGGTTCTAAGGATGATAAAGGCTCTCATGTTACTTTGGCAGCTGAACCCATGAGGGTATGTGAAAAGTACATCACCACCAAACATAGTGATGATCATAAATGTGATGAGAGTGCTTCAGCTGCTGCAAAGCAGGAAACCAATTTGCCTTCTGATTGTAGTAGTGCAGGTTGTTGTGATGATGGGTCCCCACTTGTAACAAAGGTTGTTGATTCCTCATCGTTCGATGCAGGTGGCAAGGTGAATGAATTAGTTTCAAACCTACAACCTGTTGTTGCTGTCAGCAGTATGTCGGGTATGTATATTCTGAAGCATTATGTCTATTAATTTTGCTTTTATTTCCTTCTTTATGCTTTTGTTTACCCATCCCGTATCATGTGCTAACTTAGTGTTCCTGATGCGATCCAACCTAGCATTCCTTGGAAGACGAGGTTGTACCTTTGATTTGTTTTGATCTAGGAAAGCAACAAGTATTCTGCACAAACAAGAAAGCTTAAAATAGAATGATTAAATGGAAGTAATGGAATGGAAAGATAGTATGGCAGCGGAATATATATATAAGATGGTTATAAGATTAACGAAAAATGATGGAGTGTGGTAATGGAAGTAGAATGAATGTGATGGAAATTAATATGAAAGATAGTATCTCAAAGAAGACTCAAAGAAGAACCACTGTTAAAGAACAAATACCCAAACTTTATATTGCTTCTTTAAGGGATGGTAACTAGGACTTTGACCCGCTATCTATAACGAGATAGGAACCAGAATTATCAGGGTGAAATAGATGGGGTTGACGCCACAAGCATAAGCTTGATAAGTCGATAAAGTTCAATTAAGAACTAAAGAGAAAAACTCTCACAAATATTTGATTAAAACCAAGTCTTTTTTACAAATGTAATTTAAAAGCCTATTTATAGGTCTTGAGAGTGCTTGGCCGAATGGTGCATGTAATTTAGCCAGCCTTTACACTTTCCTAAAGATATAATTTAAAATGCATAATTAACATGCTCAAATAAGTGTTGGTTCGGTCAAAGGTGCATTATCATGTCTCTTGGCTGATCAGCACTTGTGTTCCTTTAAGTTGGTGCTTAAGTGGAGACAAACACCTTGCTTTGCTGGTCACACACATGGGTTGTTTGGTGGAGACAAGCATCTTGCTTTGCTGGTCACGCATATGGGGTGTTCTTTGAGTGCAATTGTGTGTTGGATGTGTAAAGAATAAATACTGGAATGTGCAGCATTATGGGCGTGTAAGGTCTTCCTCAAACATGCGTGAGTGGATAGCTAGTCATCAATTATGGGGCTGATTGTGATCAGATGGCTTTTGAGCTTTCCCATAATGTTTCACGTGCTGCCTCCTTTTTTGTGGTATGTTTAATGTGTTGTATATGTCTTGTTGAGTGGATGTCCCCTTAGGGTTCCACCAAAACTGTCCAGTGTGTGTCAGCCTCCAATATACTGTGTGTCTTCCAAATGTTGTCCCAACGTGTGTGTGAGCTGTATATGTTGTCATAGTGCTCCACCAAGTTGTTCCAACGTGTCCAATGTGCATGTGCAAGGAAAACAAAGGTTTGTTGAATTAAATTTGTAAATCCCGTATTAATTTTCATCCTGTACTTTCTTCAGTTATCTGGGCATATCTCGAGCTACCAATAACGGATTGATACGATTCAAAGTGCGTTGGAAAGCTAAGAGATAGAAGGTTAAATGTTATGAAGACTTCATCATCCAAATATGCTTGGAACGTGTTTAAAATTGGCGATCAATATGGCTGACGTGCACTGTCCATTGGACTGCCTTGAATGTACCTAGACAAAGTATGTAAACATATAATTTAGATATGAATTGAGCTATGATAATTATGAATGCATGCTTCCATCTATTTTATTAATACAAATGAGTTAACTATGAATGCATATGCATTGAATGAGTTATATAAAGATGTGAATTAATAAGTCATGCATGAATATCATATAAATGACAACATATAATATTCAAGCATAATTAAGAATAAGCTAAACATATTCACATGACATCTAATGCATAAATAATTAAATAAATAATAAAATAAGGTAAAACTCTCTTAGAATCAACAAGAATATGCATTCATAGTTAGCTCATTTGCATTAATAAAATAGGTGGAAGCATGCATTCATAATTATCATAGCTCAATTCATATATAAATTATTTGTTTACATACTTTGTCTAGGTACATTCAAGGCAGTCCAGTGGACAGTGCACGTTAATCATATTGATCGCTAATTTTGAACAAGTTCCAAGCATATTTGAATGATGGAGTTTTCTTAACATTTAACCCTCTATCTTTTAGCTTTCCAATGCTCTTTGAATCGTATCAATCTGATATTGGTAGCTTGAGATATGCCCAGATAACTGAAGACAGTGCAGGCTGGAAATTAATACGAGATTTACAAATTCAGTTCAACAAGCCTTTGTTTTCCTTGCACATGCACATTGGACACGTTGGAACAACTTGGTGGAGCACTATGACAACATATACAACTCACACAGACGTTGGGACAACATTTAGAAGACACAAACAATATATTGGAGGCTGACACACGTTGGACAGTTTTGGTGGAACACTAATGGGACATCCACTCAGCAAGACATGTACAACACATTAAACATATCACAAAGAAGGAGGCAGCACGTGGAACATTATGGGAAAGCTCAAAACCATCTGATCACAATCAACCCCATACTTGATGACTAGCTATCCACTCACGCATGTTTGAGGAAGACCTTACACGCCCATAATGCTGCACATTCCAACATTTATTCTTTGCACATCCAACACACAATTGCACTCAAAAAACACCCCATATGCGTGACCAGCAAAGCAAGATGCCTGTCTCCACTAAACAGCCCATGTGCGTGACCAGCAAAGCAAGGTGTTTGTCTCCACTTAAGCAACTTAAAGGAACACAAGTGTTGATCAACCAAGAGACAAGATAATGCACCTTTAACCGAACAAACACTTATTTGAGCATGTTAATTATGCATTTCAAATTATATATTTAGGAAAGTGTAAAGGCTGGCCAAATTACATGCACCATTCGGCCAAGCACTCTCAAGACCTATAAATAGGCTTTCAAATTACATTTGTAAAAAGGACTTGGTTTTAATCAAATATTTGTGAGAGTTTTTCTCTTTAGTTCTTAATTGAACTTTATCGACTTATCAAGCTTATGCTTGTGGCGTCAACCCCATCTATTTCACCCTGATAATTCTGGTTCCTATCTCGTTATAGATAGCGGGTCAAGGTCCTAGTTACTATCCCTTAAAGAAGCAATATAAAGTATGAGTCTTTGTTCTTTAATAGTGGTTCTTCTTTGAGTCTTCTTTAAGATACTATCTTTCATATTCATTTTCATCACATTCATTATACTTCCATTACCACACTCCATCATTTTTCGTTAATCTCATAACCATCTTATATATATATTCCTAGTGTTTCTAAAAGTATTCCTCAGAAGGATTACTTATCAAACACTATGGTTTCTGAACATGATAGTGATGTGGCCTCAGATGTATCAAAATTGGAGGATTCTATAAGCCATGAGAATATATCAGGAAAGGCAAACGTGATGGAGTTTAGATAATTTCCATCTTCGGATGGGGCGGCGGAGGGCCCTGTCTTATTTTCTTCTATGACTATCTCACTAGATGTTCTCCCCAAGAAAGGTTCTGCGTCAAATGCTAAATCTGAAAGGATTAATAAAGGGAAACTTGTACCAGCTGCTGGGAAGTTGGCAAAAATTGAGGAAGAAGTCTTCAATGGCGATTCAACAAAAACTAGCTCTGATGTCGTTGAACCTCGTAGATCTAACCGCAGGATTCAGCCAACATCAAGGGTAAGTTAAAATATATGATCATTTATCTCATAAGTTATAGTCACTATATTGCAATATCAAAATTTCTAGATCTTGAAATAAAAATCATATGCTAATTATACTGCACTTTTTGCGAAAAATGAATTGAAAACTTCTTTACTTTTACATTATGATCGCATGTGAACTTTTGTGTGCAAAATTCTTTGCTTGCAAACGGGTGACATTTTGTGTAAGATTCGTGGTTTCAGACTCGTCGGGAACAAGTTGGGAAGTAGAGGTTTGCTTGGAATATAGAAACAACATTTCCCTTGTAGGGGAATAGGGATATGAAATTGACAGTTGGCAAATGTGTTGAATTCTTATTCTTCCTGCCAATATCGGACTGTAGAGAAATCACCATTGTGTTATGAAATTTGACGTATTTGGTTAGACAGATGTGTCAAAAATATAAATTCGTTACTGGGTTTTACCCTATGCTGCTAGGGTATCATGGGGGTAGTTTCAAACCATGTACAATATTTTGTTGAATGACCGTGGGAATTTAAAGAGTTTTATTTCTGTTTTTGTTTCTTTAAGGAGTTTACTTGCACTTGGTGCAGGCTGTATAAACTAGTATAAATCACTCTCCATATTCACTTGATCCTAAGAATTCTTTGTCTATCTTCTTTTTATATTCTATCTACTAGTCTCCGTTCAGTGATGATTGATGAAGAGAATGTATGTTATCAGAAAGAAGGAAATCCGTTACCATCGCTGAGCACACGTATTTTCATGCATTTATTTTAAAAGTTTGTACTTATCCGGTTATGTATCTTTCTTGTTACCCACAGCTTTTGAAAGGGATACAAAGCACATTGACTATCTCGAAGATTTCTGTTTTGTATGACAAAAGTCACAAGTCATAGCAGAAGTACCAGAGGTGAAAGTTAAATTTATGAATCAATATTGCTGTGCTTTTAGCATCCTTTGTTTTCAAATATACAATGATACTTGTAATGATAACTGCCTGGAAAATAACAGGAAATAACCAAGGTTGAGAGCAACTAAAAGAATCCAGTCTCGAAGAAATCCGGAGATTATTGAGGAACCAAAGTACAGCAGTGTAGGTTGTGTAAATTTTCAGACGATAGCGGAGAAAGCTAGGAATGAAAATTGCTTCTTTGGGTTTTTTGTTGTAACAGTAGATTATATGCAAATATATGTTTTGATTTTAGTTTTATTTAGAAATATTAGAATCTGATCTTGTAGGCTTTGTATATGGAACGCTCATCAAAGTAGTTAGGCTTGATATTGGCATAGCGGCATTGCAAAGTGACATCTAACTGCTCATATGCTTTATCCAGGTATCTTTGTTCTGTGGGTGGACCCATCAATTGGGGTTTTGTTCTAGTTTTTGTGTTTCTCCAAAAGGGATTTAAACC